CACATCGAGAGCGACATCGACAAGCTGATGCACCGCACCCGGAAGCGTCCGGTCGCGAGCGGCAGGGTGTCCCGGCGTGAGGCGCTGGTCTTCGGGATTGTACTCACGATTGCGTCGTTCGCGCTGCTGAGCGCCTTCGTGAACGTGCTCAGCGCGGCACTCACCCTGAGCGGCACGCTGATCTACATCTTCGTCTACACCATCGGTCTGAAGCGATCGACTCCGCAGAACATCGTCATCGGAGGGGCGGCAGGGGCGGTTCCCCCGATGGTCGGGTGGGCGGCGGTGACGGGCACGGTCGGTCTGCCCGCGATCTATTTGTTCGCGATCATCTTCTTTTGGACGCCGCCGCACTTCTGGGCGCTGGCCCTCCTGATAAAGGATGACTACGCGCGCGCCGGCGTGCCCATGCTGCCCGTAGTGACGAGCCTGGCGGACACGAAGCGGCATATCCTGCTGTACACGGTGCTGCTCGTCGCTCTCACGGCCATGTTCTACACGACCGGGGAGGTCGGGTTGATTTATCTCGTGTCGGCGCTCGGTCTGGGGGCGGTGTTTATCTACCGCGCCGTGGCGCATATTCGCTTGGAAGGGATGGAAGGGACGAAATCGCTGTATCTCTATTCGCTCTTGTATCTGGCCCTGCTGTTCCTCGCGGTGATGGTGGACGGAATGGTGAGCGGGTGATGGATTTGGCGATGATGCGGCGACGGGCGGGCTCGCGTAATCCCTTGACTGAGTATCGGGGCCTTTGGTAGATTGTCCATGCCTCGGGCTCTGTCCGATAATGGGCGGTAGGAGAAGACAGCCAGCACAATGTCAACGCTCAAAGCGCCAAACGGGAAGCTGATATCCGTTCTCCTGTTGGTCTTTCTCGGCATTCTCCTCATAGCCTGCTATCCCGGCAATCCGCAGTCCACGTTCGATGCTACGGGCCCGGTTGCGCGGTCGCAGCTCGCCCTATTCTGGGTCATCTTCTGGGCGGCCGCCTTCGTTTTCGTGGTCGTCGAGGGTGTCCTCGTCTACGCCGCGTTCAAGTACCGGCGTAAGCCGGGTGACGGCGACCCTCATCAGACGCACGGCAACACGAAGCTGGAGATCGGCTGGACGATTTTGCCGTCGATTGTGCTGGTCTTCGTGGCGGTGCCGACGGTAATCACGATATTCGACAATGCCAATTCTCCCGATCCGGAAGGCGCGCTGCAGGTTGACGTCGTCGGCGAGCAATGGTGGTGGGAATTCAACTATCCCGACCCGACGGACCCGGACAATACTCTCGTCACGGCCAACGAACTGCACATCCCGGTGGATGAGGTGGTCAACCTTACTCTGGACTCCAATGACGTGCTCCACAGCTTCTGGATCCCGAAGATCGCGGGCAAGGTCGACCTTGTACCAAATAATCTGAATACGATGTGGATCATGGGCGAGGAGGAGGGGACGTTCTTCGCGCAGTGCGCGGAGTTTTGCGGCGAGTCTCACGCTCTGATGCGGTTCTGGGTGATCGTGGAGACGCGCGAGGAATTCGACGCTTGGCTGGCGTCCGAGCGGGCGGATGCCATCGAACCCACCGACCCGTTGGCGCAGCAGGGGAAGGCGATCTTCGAGGGGCCACAGGCGCAGTGCTGGTCGTGCCATACGATCAAAGGCTCGGTGAGGGCTCAGGGAAAGATCGGGCCAGACCTGACCCACGTGGGGCGTCGTACGCATATCGCGTCCGGAATTCGAGAGAACACGCAGGAGAAATTTGACGGAGTGGATCTCTGATCCGAATTCCGTCAAGCCGGGGAATACGATGGCCATGGATGGACAGGTCTACAACGACCCGACGCTGAAGCTGACCGAAGCTCAAATAGCGGCGCTGGTACGGTATATCCAGGGCTTACAGTGACCGACCGGAGGTCAAGAGAAATCCCATGACAACACTTGCGATACCACTGCCGAAACGTCCGACCCATCCGACCGGGATCTGGGACTGGCTAACTACGATCGACCACAAGAAGATCGGTATCTTGTACGGCGTGACCGCCTTCATCATGTTTTCGACGGGCGGAATCGAGGCGCTGTACATCCGCGCCCAGCTGGCAACGCCCGAGGCCCAGCTGGTTAGCCCGGAGGTATTCAACCAGCTCTTTACGATGCACGCCACGACGATGATCTTCCTGGGCGTGATGCCGATGGGAGCGGCGTTCTTCAACTACATCATCCCGCTGCAGATAGGAGCGCGTGACGTGGCGTTCCCACGCCTCAATGCCTTCAGCTACTGGACTTCTTGGCGGCGCGCTGATTCTGAAGCTGAGCTGGTTCATGGGCGGCGCGCCAAACGCCGGATGGTTGGCTACTCGCCGATCACGGGACTGGCGTACAACCCGGGGCACGGCATCGACTTTTGGATTCTGAGCCTGCAGGTGCTCGGTATCGCCTCGCTGGCGGCTGCGTTCAACTTCATCGTGACGATACTGAACATGCGCGCGCCGGGCATGTCGCTGATGCGGATGCCGCTGTTCACGTGGATGACGCTGGTGACGGCGTTCCTCCTGATCCTGGCGTTCCCGGTCATCACGGTGGCGCTGATCGAGCTCCTCTTCGACCGCTTCTACGGGACGAACTTCTTCGTCACGAGCGCCGGTGCGAACCCGCTCTTGTGGCAGCACCTGTTCTGGATATTCGGGCATCCTGAGGTCTACATCCTGATTCTCCCGGCGATGGGAATCGTGTCGGAGATACTGCCGACGTTCTCCAAGAAGCCGCTCTTCGGCTACCCGGTCATCGTGCTGTCGGGGATCATCATCGGGTTCATGGGCTGGATGGTGTGGAGCCACCACATGTTCACGGTCGGTCTCGGGCCCGTGGCCAACTCGGTGTTCGCGATAACGACGATGGCTATCGCGGTGCCGACGGGCGTGAAGATATTCAACTGGATCGGGACGATGTGGGGCGGGTCGATCGACTTCAAGACGCCCATGCTGTTCGCGGTGGGGTTTATCGCGTTGTTCATCGTTGGCGGTCTGAGCGGGGTGATGCACTCCTCCGCGGCGTCGGACGCTCAGCAGCAGGACACCTACTTCGTCGTCGCTCACATTCACTACGTGCTGTTCGGCGGGGCGATCTTCGCCCTCTTCGGCGGCATCTACTACTGGTTCCCGAAGATATACGGACGGTTCCTTAATGAGCGGCTCGGTAAGCTCAACTTCTGGCTCATGTTCATCGGCATGAACGTGACGTTCTTCCCGATGCATTTCGTCGGACTCGACGGGATGCCACGCCGGGTGTTCACGTATCCCGAGAACATGGGATGGGACTTCTGGAACATGGTCGCCACCGTCGGTTCCTTTATCCTGGCGTTCGGGATACTGATTTTCATCGTGAACTACATCAAGAGCGTCCGGAGCGGTGAGATAGCTAGCGCCGATCCCTGGGACGGACGAACGCTTGAGTGGTCGATTCCGTCACCGCCTCCGCACTACAATTTCGTGCAGATTCCCCAGGTCTACGACCGGGACGCGTGGTGGGCGCAGAAGCGGGAGCGCATCCCCGCGGTGCCGGTAGCGGGCAGCTCGGAAGACGAGCATAACGGGCACGACATTCACCTGCCGCAGCCGTCGTACTGGCCGCTGGTGACGTCCCTCGGACTTTTCATCGGGGCATACGGTCTGCTCTTCACCATCGACATCGCGGGTATTTCGAGCGTCCCGGTGGCGGCGATCATCGGCGGGGCAATCACACTCATAGGCATCGTGGCGTGGCGTTGGAACCGGTCAACGAGCCGGACGAATCGCCGGCGCACCACTAAACGGAGAAATACGTGGCAAACGCAGAAGTCGCCCACGCGGGCGGGCACGAAGAACACGATACGACGACCGGTCTGAGCCACAAGAAGCTGCTCATGTGGGCCTTCTTGGGCTCGGACTGCATGTTCTTCGGCTCGTTCATTGCGACGTACTTGGTATACAAGAACCGCAGTCAAATCGGACCGTTCCCGGAGGACGTGTTCGACATTCTCACGACTTCGACGAGCACCTTCGTACTGCTTATGAGCAGCATGAGCATGGTGCTGGCGTACAACGCGCTGACTCGTGGGAACATGAAGGGCTTCCGCATCTGGCTGCTCTCGACGTGCATCATGGGGGCGACCTTCCTGGCCTTCCAGGTCTTCGAGTTCAACGAGTTCGTCAATTACCACGTCGACATCGATTGCAAGCATCTCAACATCGAAGAGTTGACCGACTTCGAGAAGACCTTCGCGGACCGGTGCGACGGCACGGTCGATCACGTGGCGGTGGAGACGGGGCTGACGCCGAGAACGAACCTGTTCGGCACGACGTTCTTCACATTGACGGGATTCCACGGGGGACACGTCACGATTGGGGTCATATGGCTGCTGTCGATCTTCTTCTTTTCCTTGAGGAAGGGTGGCATCACCCCGAAGAAACATGAGGAGATCGACATTGCGGCGCTGTACTGGCATTTCGTCGATATAGTGTGGATCATCATCTTCACTGTGGTGTACCTCTTCGGGGTATTCCCGGGTTTCGAATAGACCGTTCAGATAAGGGTGCGGGAAATGGCACACGGACCAAACGACGAGAACACTCACTCAACGGTAGATACGGGTCATCCGACGGCGTTCACCTATTTCAAGGTGGCGATGATACTGGCGGCCCTAACGGCCGTCGAGGTCGGCGTCTTCTACGTGGAGGGTCTGAGACACGCCATCATCCCCGTCTTGGTGGTGCTGTCGGGCACGAAGTTCGCGCTCGTCGCCATGTTCTACATGCACCTACGCTACGACGCCAAGCTCTTTTCGGGGCTGTTTGTCGGCGGCTCGGGCTGGCCTTCGGGGTCGGTCTGTCCCTGTTGGCGCTGTTTCAGTTCTTCGTATAGGCGGACGGGACTGCAGGAGGCGGTTGGAGGATAAGGTGGAAGAGTCCATTCGTCCAATCTGGACACACTGGCACGGCCACGTAGAAGTGGTGCTCGGTCTTGCGCTGCTGGAGGGGGCGTACCTATTCGGTGTTGGGCCCCTGCGTGAGCGCTGGAACCTCGCCGATGAAGTTGACCCGAAGAAGATAGCGACGTTCACGGCCGGAGTGCTGGTCATCTTCTTCTCGTTGCTCTCGCCCCTTCATATCCTGGGCGACCACTACCTGTTCAGCGCCCACATGACGCAGCACGTGCTGTTGACGCTGGTGGCGCCGCCGCTGCTCATACTCGGCACACCGGACTGGCTGATCCGTCCGTTGCTGCGGCCCAACCTCAGCTTCTACGTGTGGCGGTTCGTCACGCGCCCGGTAGTGGCGGTGCTCGTGTTCAACCTGGTATTCGCGCTGTGGCATGTCCCCGACCTGTACAACCTGTCCGTGACGGTCCACGCCGTTCATGTTACCGAGCACCTGTTGTTCATCGGGGCGGCTATGCTGATGTGGTGGCCGCTAACAAGCTCGATGCCGGAGCTGCCTCGTCTGCCGTACTCGCTGCAGATGGTCTACCTGTTCGTTCTTTCGATAACCCAGATATTCGTGTTTGTGTTCGTGACATTCTCCAAGCAGCCGCTGTATGAGTGGTACGTCAAGGCCCCGCAGATCTGGGTGATCTCCCCCTTGGTGGACCAGCAGATCGGGGGCATCATCATGAAGGTCGGCGGCAGCATCCTGTTCCTGACCCTAATCGTCGTCGCCTTCTTCAAGTGGTACAACGATGAGGAGCGCCGCACGAAGGACGAGAAACGGCGAGTTAGCCCTCATTTCCCCGTCGATGAAGATAATCTCTTGAGTACCGCATAACATAGAGAGGACCACGAATGAATACGGAAAAACGTCGATTTTGGGACGCGATCTGGATACCCGCCGCCGCCGTGTTCTCCGTGGGCCTGTACGCGCTTGGAATGGGCGCGATATTCACGACCATTTACGTGAACACCGCCCTGAAGGCTTGGGGAGTCATTATCTTGGGAGTCATGCTCGTGGTGGGAGTTCCCCTCGTCGCCGCCTATCTCGAACGGAAGATGGGCAGCTAGTCGCGGATCATCGGACCGGTCGGGCTTGGGCAAGCCGCAAATCGAACGACCGCCGCATTCCCTCGTCACAGCGTGGCAGGCGGCGGTCGTTGTCGTTTCCATTCTCCTCATGGGCTGTTCGTTCGGCGGAGGAGAAGCAACATTTTCCGGGACCGTCATCGAGGACCGACGGGAGGCGCCGAACTTCCGCCTGACCGACCATTTTGGGAACGCTGCCACTCTCGACCAGTACAACGAGGGGAAGGTTGTAGTTCTCACGTTTCTCTATACATACTGCCCGGATATCTGTCCGATCGTCGCGCACCACGTAAAGAGCGTGCACGAGACGCTGGGCGATGATGCGGGGGACGTGTCCATCGTGGTCGTAAGCGTCGACCCGGAGCGGGACACGGTCGAGCGGGCGCGGGAGTATTCCGAGGCCTGGGGTATGACCGAGAACTGGGCGTACCTCGTCGGGAGCGAAGACGAGCTCAGCCCGGTCTGGGCGTCGTACTACGTCGTTGCGGCGGTAGATGAGGAAGCCCGCGTCGCGGATGTGCCCGAGGAGTGGAAGGTCGACAGAGCCCGCGGGGTCGATGCGCTGCGGCGGGACATCGCCTCGCGGTATACGGTGACGCACCAAGCCCCGGTCTATCTCATCGACAAGCAGTGCGCGTTCTCCACACGCTGCCAATCGACCCGGCGGATGTGGTGGCGGATATCCGGGCGCTACTTCGGGAGGACGGGTAGGCGCGGTCTAATCAAGCAGCTAGGTACTTGTACAAACACTGTCTTGATTTCAGATGTCTCTGGATTCCGGCCTACGCCGGAATGACGGTGGCGACTACTAGCGGCGTACCGTTAGGTTGAAGCAGGCTTGCACGGGGTAAGGCTACTCGCCGAAGCGCCGTCGAAAGCCGGTTAGGCCGCGTCTGGGCAGCGAGTTGCGCCTTGGCGGTTTCGGCGATTGCGGTGAAGGCCTCGGGGTCGGTGGCGCCCAGCTCGGCAAGCATCTTGCGGTTGACGTCGACGCCCGCGAGCTTGAGGCCGTGGATGAGCTTGCTGTAGGAAAGGCCGTTGGCCCTTGCCGCCGCGTTGATGCGGATGTTCCACAGCCGGCGCATATCGCCCTTCTTCTCGCGCCGGTGGAAGTAGGCGTACCTGAGCGCGTGCATTACGGACTCGTTGGCCTGCTTGAACACTCGGGAACGGCCGCTCTGGTGGCCCGACGCCATGCGGACGATCTTCTTGTGGCGTCGCCGTCTTACGTATCCTCTTTTGACTCGTGTCACGTTATGATCCTCGTCTTACTTGGTGGAGCCGTACGGCAACACGCTGCGCAGTTTCTTGGCGTCGGCGGAACTGCCCGAAAGCGTCTGACGCATCTGTCGCTTTACGCGCTTGGGCTTCCGGCGACGGAAGTGACCTTGCCGCCCCTTCATGCGGAGGAGCTTGCCGGTCTTCGTAAACCTGAACCGCGCGGCTGCTCCCTTGTGGGTCTTGAGCTTAGGCACGCGTCTTCTCCTTTTCGGTCTTCTGTGATTGCTCGTCTTTCTGCTTGGAAGTCTTGCCGCCAGTGCTTACGGGGGCCAAGATCATGGCGAGGAACCGTCCCTCGAACGAAGGAGCCTTTTCCATGCCCGCGTCCTCGACGAGGCTTTCGGCGACTCGCCGCAACAGGGCCATGCCGATTTCCGGGTGGGTTATCTCGCGACCACGAAAGCGAACCGACACCCGGACTTTCGAACCCTCGCCAAGAAGGCGTTTGACCTGACGGATCTTGGTTTCGAGATCGTGGTCGCCGATGCGTCCTTCGAGCCGGACTTCTCGCAGCTCATTGGTGGTCTTGCTTCGCTGGGCCCTCCGAGCCTCCCGTTCTCTGCGTGTTGCCTCATACCTGAATTTGCCATAGTCCATCAACCGGCAGACTGGCGGTCTGCTGCCTGGTGCGACCTCGACGAGGTCAAGCCCCCGCTCCTGCGCGAAATTCAGGGCCTGGCGAGTGGGCATGACGCCAAGCTGCTTGCCCGATTCGTCAATCAACCGGACTTCCGCTATGCGGATTCGCTCGTTGACGCGATAGTCTCGTGGTATGCCTACACCTCACTAAACAAACAGTCCGTCCGAATTGGACGGCACCATCGAATATAGCACACGGCAACCTGCAAGACAATCACAATTGGCGAAAGGTTCGGTCTGCTTTGGTGGATTTGGGAATTTCGCGCCTTGCGCGTGGGGAATCACCGCAGAGGGCGCGGGAGGGAGAAGAAAGTAGAAAGTAGTGCGTTTCTTTACGTTGTCTGGGAGACGCTCTATCCTTATCGAAATTCGTCCATGTTAGTTGCCGTAAGCCTATGCGTCTTCCTCTGTTTCCGCTCAACCTCGTCTTGTTTCCGGGTGGGTACCTGCCGCTGCATATTTTCGAGGAGCGGTATCGCCTGATGATGCGGCATTGCCTTGACGGTGAACGGCGCTTCGGGGTCGTGCTCATCAATTCGGGTTCGGAGGTCGGCGAGCCGGCAGTACCGGAGGCGGTTGGGACCATTGCCAAGATCGACGAGGTGAGGACGCTCGATGACGGGCGGATGCTGATCGGTGTCAAGGGCGAACAGCGATTTCGCATCTTGGAGATCGTCGAGCAGCTACCGTACATCATTGCCGAGGTGGTGCCCCTGGTGGACGATGCAGTCGACGTGGAGGAGGGCCTGATCGCGGACGTTCGGCAAGCCGCGAAGGAGCACATACAGATCCTGATGGCGCTGCGAGGCGAGCGGACACAGCCGCCCGGTCTGCCGACGGACCCCGCGCGGCTTCGGCACCTGGTCGGTTCCCAGCTTCAGGGTGAGGTTATTGGCAAGCAGGGTGTCTTGGAGGAGGACGATATCTCGAACGCGCTGCGGCTTGCGCTCAGGCTCCTAAACGAGGAATCGGCGACACTGAAGGAGCGGCTGAGGGACGGGATGGGAAGGTCGTCGTCCAACTAGACGCCGAGGAACCGGTCTTTGTGGCACCCTTCGTCCCAGTCTACGGGTTCCACCCACCATTCTCCGTCGATGTAGACCCATCTGGCGCCTTCCTCCACCTCGCCGAGGTAGTCGTGGAACTCGTCGGTGACGCTTGCCCTCGTGATAGATGTCGAGCCGGACGACGCCTTCGCGTTCTTTTCCTTCAACGGTTGAAACGTCGACGATTTCCCAAGTCAGCTTCTCTTGGCGGTAGAATCCGCCCAAAGCCCTGATCTTTGCGACCTTCGTGCCTGTGTCGTAGATGAACTGCTCTTGCGTGCAAAGCTGGACGGCGGGGAGGCCGTAGGGAATGCGGGGTTTGACCGAGCGCGGACTCTTGAACTTGTAGAAGTCGAGCCACCGGTCCTCGTTCAGGGCGAGGGTGGCTTCGGTGACTCTGATGCGCAGTCCTTCGAACGTCGGAGGCGGGCCGGTCTCTTCGGGGAGCAGGGTCGGGTCTTCGCCGGTGCCGCAGGCTAGGAGGACGAGTGTCAGCGCGCCTATGAGGACCGACCACGCACTCGCAGGGCTATTCACCGATCGTTCCCTAGTGATAGCAGCCGCGTCCGGGGATATCCCAAACGTCTTCGACCACGCCGTCGCGGACGGCCACGTACTCGTCCCAGCGGTTGACGAGCATGTCTTGGTGCGCCGGAAGGAGTTTGAACTTGTCGCCGACGCGCAGGGGCATTGAGCCGTCGGTGGTGAGGACGATGTGGTCGTCGTGGAGCGACTCGACCTCCACGCCCGGGATGCCGTCGACGGTCGGGAGGAGACCGCTCGGCCCGGCTATCGAACGCAATCCCACGTCGCCGATGGCAACTCCGGGTCGAGGGGTGCTGACGACGGTGCCGAGCACCTTGCCGGCGACCTGAAATTCGGTCATGTATCCGTATCCGGTGGACATGAGGGCGTATGAGCCGCCTTCGACCTCGGTGACGCCGGGGATTTGGGCCGCTACGTCGTAGCAGAACGTCTCGCCGCTGGATACGATCTCGACCGGGATGCCCGCCGCCTCGACCGCGTCCTTGACCCTCAAACAGATACCTATGTACTCCTTGCCACGGAGGAAGCGGTCCTCTTTGCTGAACGTCTCGCCGACGCTCTGGTGGCTCATGACGCCGCGAAAGGAGACGCCGGGCAACTCTTGTGTGGCCCGGGCGATCTCGACGCCGGCTTCGGGGCTGCGTACTCCCGCTCGCCCCATCGACGTATCGACCTCGATGAGTACGCCGATCTCGACGCCATTCCGGGACGCGACGTCGGAGATGATCCGAACGTTTTCCACGCTGTCCACGCACAGTTTGATGTCGCCGTGCCTTGCGAGGGCGGACACACGGTCGAGCTTGTCATCGGTGACGACCTGATTGGGGATGAGGATGTCGGTGATGCCGCCCTCGACCATGACCTCGGCCTCGGCGACCTTGGCAGTGCAGACGCCGCCGTTCGAGCCTCCGGTGTCCATTTGCATCTTGGCGAGGAACGGGCTCTTGATGTTCTTGGTGTGCTGACGCATCTTGCACACGGTGTCGCGGTAGGTGTTGGACACGACACGGTAGTTGCTTTCGAGCGCGTCCAACTCAACGATCAGGCAAGGGGTCTCCAGGTCGTCGAGGGGTGTGCCACGTTCGCAGGTTGTGCTGTTCATCTTGTCCTCCGGCCGGGGTCCTGCTCGACGTGTCCGGCCTGCATGTTCTTTGAGTATGTGAGCCTGACTTCCGATGTCGGTTAGCGGTATCTTCCTCTGGCGGAGACTTCCCACACGGCTTCCAAGGCATTGTTTCGCACGGCGAAAATGTAGTCGTGAAGGTTGGCGCAGGTGGCGGCGTCCCAGGGTGTGCACCATATCTTGTCGCCAAGTTGGGGGTCGGCGCCGTCGTCTGTCGAAGTAGATGGTGCCGTGCTCGGCGCTGAGGCCCTTGACCGTTGGATTGGGTAGGTTGTCGACTGAAGGGAAGCCGGTGTCCGCCGCCGATAGCCTTCTGGCCGCCGTCGCCCGTCACATCACGTACTGTCCCCGTGATCGGGCACGCGTCTGGTACAGTGGACATGACGCGCCCTGCCGTCTTGAGGTGGGGTAGATGTGGCGCATGGCGGGCGTCGAGCAGGGCATAGGTGCCTGCAGGGACCTCCGTCACCCCGTCGACGGCACCGACGATCCGGTAGTTGGACGTGCCCCCGGCGCTCACGACCGGACTTCGATTCCGGCACGCTCGATATCCTGGCGCGTGTCAAGAAGAGCTGGAGGGCCGCCCGCGACTCCGCTGCCGCTTCGTCCGGGTCGTCCAAGAGTATGCTGCCTTCGTGGGTCATCACCCCGGCGAAGTCGAGACCGGGAGCGTCGACGACGATTTGTCGCAACTCTACGGCGGGTTGTCCGGGGTCCACGCCGTAAACAGAGACGCGGCGGGGTCCTGCTATGACGTATACGGCTACGCACATCGAGGGTCACGCCGTTGGCGACCGCGGCGTCGACAGTCGGCTCACTGTTTGCAGCGACTGTCGACGGCGCCACGCTCGTCCGGCCTGTCGAGCGAGGGCGCATAGGCGGGTGATCTTCTGGGGAGTTACGACGAGATTCGCCACGAATACGTCGCCGAAGCCGTTGGAACGAACTACTCAGCTCTGTGCCTATGACTCGAGACGGAGCATTCGCCGCCGACGTGGCGCCGCCGCCATCTGCTTGTGCGCTCTGGCGGCGTGTCTGTGCTGCTCGACGTGCGTCGAGCTTGGCTGCGTGTTCGCGAGAGAGGAGCACCGCAGCGATGTTGTGATCGAGCGAATCGACGTCGACGATGAGCGCGGCCCCGCGTATCGAGCTCTTCCGTCGGGGTTCCGATGGGCTTGAATATCGGTCGTTCCATTCAACGCTCCTTGTTGGTCGTACGCCTTTGGAGAATAGCATACCGCGATATGCGAGTCTATTGGGACGGAGTGGGGATTGAAAAGAGCCCGGTTGTCATTCGTGTGGCGAGTAAGTTGATTCCCGTAGTAGGCTTGGGCAACTCAATTGGATATTGCGAGAGTAGTCATGAACGATCCAAACGTTATTGCTTGTGCACCGGACGTCTCGGCTATGCTGGGCAGCGTCGTCGGATGTGAGGAAGGGCTGTCCGACCGTCACGCGGCGTGATGCTGGGGCTTGCGGCGGGGAATCTTCTGGGGCTTCCCGTGGAGGGCTGGTGATATGGCGATATCGAGCGGGAGTATCCCGACGGGGTTCTGGACATCGACCCGCGTGAGGCGTACCGGCTCATGGACGACGACCTCGCGCAGCGCCGCTGCGAGCTGGCGCGCGCCTTGTTGCAGAGGGCACGGAGACTACGTCGGCGAGTTCGCCAAGCGGCTGGTCGTTTGGGCGCGGGAGAACGGACGCGGCATTGGAATAACGACAAGTCGTGTCATTAGCGAGTTGGAAGGCAGGCATCGACCACCCAACGCGGCCCGCATCATTTACGAACGAGACCCCATTGCGCCAACGGCGCAGGCGTCGATGCGCGGCGCTCCCCGCGTCCGGCACTGGCCCGTTTCGCACCGTCCCAGCGTAACTGCTTGTCGGCGACAGCGCGCGCCGCGCACGTTAGCGTCGTGACGCACTATGCGCCAACTTCGCAGTGGAGCTGCATCATCATCAATGCCGCTATCGCTCTGCTGCTACGAGGTACCGAGCCGGACCTGTCCGCTCTGATGGCGGCGGCTTCCGAGGATGAACCCTTTCCCGACTGTGCCGGTGGGCCCGGCTTCTGCATGGGAAGCTCGGCGCATACATCACACGACATTCTAGCAAGCATGTGGGGGGTGTGAACCGGTGAATTGGCGGCTGCGTATTGGCTGCAGGAGAGGCGGACCCCAGAAAGAGAGTTGGCGATAGGTCGACGACTCGATTGCCCACTGAGGCGGGTGTGGGCTAGTGGCCAAGTCACGCCGTGGCCACTTCGAGGAGGCGTTGAGGCAGGTGGTTGAGGCAGGGGGCGATACCGATACCAACGGGGCTGTGGCCGGGGCCGTCCTGGGCGCGCGATACGGGGTTTCGGCCATTCCCGCAGCGCGTGGCAGGGATGTTTATTACGCACGCCCCGGGAACGGGTGGAGGGGGGTGGGGAGGGGGCGTGCTCGCTCGTCGGTGGTGGTGGCGCGTTGAGGGGGGTTTCGGGGTCTGTGTCGGGGGGTGGTGCGTTTATCGGGGGGGGCCCCGGGGCACGCGGGTACCGTCGTCCCTTTTGTCTCCCCTCAGCCCGGGGTTTGGTCGGGTTTCCGAGTTTTTTTTGGTATGTGTCCTGCCTTCTCCGGTTGGGTTCCTATGGCCGATGGGCTGCTGGCCTTGGCGGGTTGAATGCTCAGGGATCGAAGACGGGCTCGCGTGGATAGGAATGCCGGCGGGGGGCAGGAATTGAATGACTACACATACGATTGTTGAACGGCTTAGCAGGGCCCGCGAGGATGCTCATGCGGGAACGGGGGGACGGGGGGAGGAAGCTGCAGCGCCGCGGCCGGCCGATGTATCAAGGAGGCAGAGGAAAGGATGAAGCGTGGTCAGGCTACGGCCACATATTCGAGTATGCAGACGGGTTCAGCGGTTGCCACTCGCGACGATTGCGCGTCGGGGGCGACCTCATCATCAGCAAAAACCCACGTCTCCCCCCCACCCATCCTTTCTCCCAACCCGCCCCCCCCTAACCCTCCCCCCCCCTCCCCCCCCCCCCGCCCCACACTCCCTACCCCCCCCTCCCCCCCCCCGCGTCCCCTTCCCCCCCCCCCCCCACCTCCCTCCCCCCTCCCCCCCTACCCCCTCACCACCTCCACTATCCTCACATCCCCTCCCCCCCCTCCTACCCCCCCCCCCCACCTCACCCCCCCCCCCCCATCCCCCCCAACCATCAATCCCCACCCTGTTACCCCACCTCCCTCCCCCCCCCCCTCCCTCCCCCCCCCCCTCCCCCCCACCCCCCCCCCCTCCCCCCCCCCCCCCCCACCCCCCCCCCCCCTCCCCCCCCCCCCCCCCCCCTCCTCCCCCCCCCCCCCCCCCCTCTCCAATCATCTCCTCTTCCACTCCCCCCCCCCCCCCCCACCCCCCCCCCCCCCCCCCCCCCCTTCCCACCCCCCCTCCCATCCCCCCCCATCCACCCCCCCCCCTCTTCTGGACCGACGCCCACCCGGGCAGAAAGGATTGCGCGAAGGCGAAACTGGCGAAAGTACGCAGGCCCCGCCACCCGCGCACTCACCCGAAACGACCGGTAACAGCGCCGCGTACCCAGCGCTGCATACGGGGCATACGTTTAGCCGGCGGTGATCAGCAGCGCCGAGCCTGCAGGGGGGACTGCCTCCGGTACACAGTCCGGTCTCGGACACGCAGCGCTTGGGCGTCGAGGCGTACCGGAAGGAGTGGGCGGATCACGCAAAGCTCCTCGCCGACGAGGGCGCGGACGTGATGCTGCCGGAATACGTGGGGCTCATCGAAGGACTGGCGTGGTCGCAGTGGACCGGCTGCTCGGCTCGGAGGGGCGCCGGTCTTCCTCGGTGTCCGGCATATCATGGATGACGGCCCCCCACGCTGTTGGCTACGATTGTGTTTGACACGATGTGGGGCTTGCACGTGAAACTATGGCGAGACCTTTAGCCCGACCTTGCCGCGACGCTCGAAGGTCACACCGTGCGTGCCCGTGGCTATGGCGAACCCGGAGAAATCTAGAGGGAGCTCCTACGTCCTTCGTGAGGCGTTCGCCGGTCCCGTCGGCGCGTACCCGAACCTCGGCTACAATCACGCGGCCCCATTCGTGAAAGCGCCGTGCTCACTGAACAAGAAGCCCAGAAGCCAACCCCCTCACCCCCTCACCCCCCCCTCCCCCCCCCCCCCCCCCCCCCCCCCCCCCCCCCCCCCCCCCCCCACCCCCCCCTCCCCAACCCCTCCCTACCCCCACATTCCCTTACCCCCTCCTCCATTCCTACCCCCCCCCCCCCTCGCGCGAGGACATCCTTCAGAACGCGGAGTACTACCCCACTCGCGTGGCGGAGTTTGCCAAGGAGTGAGGGGCAATGGGAGCGCAGATCATCGGGGGATGCTGCGCCTCGGGCCCGGAGCATGTCCTGGCGATGCGGCCTGTAGTGAAGGGGTGCTAGGCTCCTGAATGCGCGAAGGTGTCGATGCCTGCCTGACGGCCAATTGGCAAGGGTTCGAGCATCTCTCCCTCACCTCTGTATCTCTCCCCCGACAGGGGGAGAGACCAGTGAAAAAACTCGCCACTCGCGGGGTTCTATTGACGGTTTGGCGCGGCGTTGCTACCCTACCTTGACACTAGAACGTTGCACGAAATGAGGTTATGGCGAAACTTCTCGAAGTCTACAATCTGACGACTCACTTCTATACCGACAACGGGGTCGTGGAGGCTGTCGACGGCATCTCGTACTCGGTGGACGAGGGTGAGATCGTCGGCATCGTGGGGGAGAGCGGCTGCGGCAAGAGCGTCAGCGCGCTTTCGATCATGGGGCTGATTCCCGATCCTCCGGGCAAGATCGTTGAGGGTGAGGTCATCTTCGACGGACAGGACCTTCTGAAGCTCTCGTCCGCGCAGATGACGCAAGATTCGTGGCAACGACATTGCGATGGTGATGGTTTCCAGAGCCGGATGACGTCGCTCAATTACCTGGTGATTACGAGCGGCAGGCAGCCTGTACTGCGACCTCGAGCTCCACCTGAACATGACGGCCAGCGCGGCGAGCCAGCGTGCGGCGGAGCTTCTGAGCCTCGTCGGAATTCCCGACGCCGAACGGCGACTGAAAGACTACCCACACCAGATGAGCGGCGGTATGCGCCAGCGCGTGATGATAGCGATGGCGGTAAGCTGCAACCCGAAGCTGATCATCGCGGATGAGCCCACGACGGCGCTGGACATGACGATCCAAGCGCAGATTCTCGAACTGATGCAGGGCTGTCGACCGAACTGGGGACGGCGATGATCCTCATCACCCACAACCTCGGCGTCGTGGTGCGAGCGCTATGCCTAAGCGCGTCGTAGATGTCAGTGACGCGGCTCATCATCGAGGATGGGCCCTCGCGGCAGATACTGACAGATCCGCGGCACCCGTATACGCTGGGGCTGCTGCGTTCCGTCCCGCGGTTGGACGAAGAAGAGGGGGTGAAGCTGGAGCCGATCGAAGGCCTGCCGCCCAACCTCATCGTCTCGGCGGCAGCTGCAAATTGCGCGAGAGTGCGCGTACGCGACTTTTGATCGGATGCCTACCGAGTCTCGATGCTCGAGCTATCAGAGACGCGACACGCCGCACACGCGCGCGTGCTGGCGATCTCGAGTGGGACTGCACCAGCTTGGTCGTCACCCGCAGGCGCGGAGGAGGCATACATGTGATCGAGTCGCAGTCGAATGGGACGGGGAGACCTCTCATTGAGGTCAGGGACGTCAGGATGTACTTCCCCGTTACGACGGGGATCGTTTTTCAGCGCAAGGTGGCAGAGGTCAAGGCGGTCGACAGCGTCTCCCTGGCTATCAACAAGGGCGAGGTGCTCGGTCTGGTCGGGGCGAGGATGAGCGGCAGCGGCAACAGACGACGTTGGGCCGGGTGATGATGATTTCTCCAATCCTGGCCGAGTCGGGTGACGTGTTCTACGACGGTCAGCGACCTGAAACAGCCTGAGCAAAAACGGAGCGGGCCCATCCGCCGCGCAAGATGCAGTGATTCTTCAGGACCCGATACCGGTCACTGATCCAAGAATGACGTGCGGCGACATCGTGGGAGAGCCGCTCTCGGTGCACAAGCTGACCGATAGCAAGGGCGAGTACCAAGACCGCGTGTCGGAACTTGCTGCAGACTGTGGGTCTCAACCCGTTCATGGCGGACCGGTACCCGCACGAGTTTTCGGGCGGGCAGCGTCAAAGGATCGGGATCGCGCGGGCGCTGGCGGTGAGTCCGGACTTCATCGTGTGCGACGAGCCCGTCTCGGCGCTGGACGTCTCCATTCAGGCGCAGATCATCAACCTGCTCGAGGAGCTTAAAGAGAAGCTCCAGCTTACGTACCTCTTCATCGCCCACGATCTGTCGGTGGTGCGTCACATCAGCGACCGGGTGGCGGTCATGTACCTAGGCCACATCGTCGAGGTCGCGAACCGTCAGGAGCTGTACGACAACCCGCTGCACCCGTACACGAGGGCGCTCCTGTCGGCGATCCGATTCCCGACCCCGACATGGAGCAGCAGCGCGAGCGTCATCATGCACTGCGCAGCGAGCTCCCGAGTCCATGTCCCGCACGGTAGGGGTTGCGAGGGTGCGTCTTCCACACCCGGTGCCCGATCATGGTGGAGGAGTGCAAGGATGAGATGCCGGGGCTCCGCGAGGTCAGCCCGGAGACCACTGGGTGGCTGCACCGGGAGGCGGAACCGGAAGGGTCGACGAGCGCGGTAAGGGCGTAGGGCGTCGAAGAAGACGAGCGCGCGCTGCGATCTTGGCAGATCGACTTGAAAGCAATCGCATCGGTGTGTGGATTCGCTTTGTCACGATACGCAAAGCTAAGGCGTAAGTATGACGGCCGAGTCGCATACAAGTGGGCACAGTTCAGCTTGGCGAGAGCGCCGCCCAGGGTCGCAGCGCACTCATGACCTGTTGCGACTGATTCGTCAGTTCAACAGACGCCGGCCGCGAGGCCGATCGCTCAGGCCGTAGTGAGTTCTCACCACCAGGTTCTCGTTACACCTATGTGTTTTTCGAGAAAGGCTCGAACAAGTCGACCGGTCGCTTCTCTGGCCTGGCAAGGGCTTCGCCGACCGACCCGTCTGGCGACCGAAAAGACTGCTTCGGGTGGGAGTACAAGGGGCAGGGCAAAGACAGTCGGCGCGTATCAGCCGTCAGCGTATATCGTGAAGCCTTGGGCTAATCCCACTCTGCTGGTCGGTCGACTTCAACTGTTCGAGGTGGTCTGGGCCATACGAACTTCACCAACACCGTCAGCGGGCGTACTAAACTTCACCACGACTTGATCTTCACGTCGGACTAGGCCGGTAGATGCGATTCTGGACTCACGCCGCCCAGATCTCGTGCGCTGTTGAAGACCCGGGACGCTGAATCCGGCAGGCTCCGTTTCGAAACTCACGAGCCCAGCCGCAAACCCGGAGCGGCCGACCTGCTTCGCGTCCTCGCGGATGACATGCGTACGTGGAACGCGAAGAGCAAGAGTCCGATCAGCGAACAGGAAATCGCGCACTTCATCATGCGCATGTGATCTTCTGCTTCTTCGCGAGCGCGACGTCGTCGTCTATTGTGTTCAACGAGGGCGTCGCCAAGCTGATCCACGCTCACACAAGATCCAGCCGCTGACTTTCTTTAGGAAGAGTAAGTACACCGGCGAACTCTTCGCGGCGATGAAGGACGGCGGGCAGTTCCTCATGAGGGACGTGCCTCATTTCAATGGGGGACTCTTTGGTGACTACCTCCGTCCCTGAATTGATCGCGGACCAGATCGCACTGCTCGAACAGTTGAATGAGTTGGACTGGTCGGATATCGAGCCTTCGATATTCGGCGAGCGAATCATCGACGAGAGCAAGCGCAAACAACTCGGAACACACTACACCTCACGCGAGGACATCGAGCTGATCGTCGAGCCGTCTGATGCGCCCGCTGCTGCAGGCTTGGGAACGGGAGAAGACCAAGGCGGAGAAATACGTCGACTGGCAGGTCCAACCGGAAAGCGAGCAAGAGTTTCCAGGGACCGGCTTCACGGAATACTATCGCGGTTCCTTGAACGGCTCGCCACGATTCGAGTGCTCGATCCGGCGTGCGGTTCGGGCAACTTCCTGTACGTCAGTCTCGCGCTGCTCAAGGCGCTTGAGAAGGAGGTCATCGCTTCGGGGAACAGTATGGCGTCGCGGGTCTGACTCCGGGCGTACATCCCCGGCAGCTTTTGGGAATCGAGACCAACGAATACGCGCAAGAGCTCGCGTCCGCCGTCGTGTGGATCGGCTATCTTCAGTGGAAGTATCGCAACGCTTTCGACCTGGAAAGCGAGACGCCGATTCTCGAACCTCTTGAGAACATCGCTCGCATGGACGCCATCGTTGGTGACGACGAGAATGGCGCGTTGACGGAGCCCGAATGGCCTACTGCGGATGTCATCGTGGGCCATCCGCCGTTTCTGGGCGGTAAGCTGCTACGGCAAGAGTTGGGAGATGACTACGTGGACGCTCTGTTCGGGGTGTGGGACGAGCGCGTCTCTCGCGAGGCTGATCTGTGCTGCTACTGGTTTGAGAAGGCACGCGCGCAGGTTGAATCGGGACGGGCAGAACGGGCGGGCCTCCTTGCGACCCAGGGGATTCGAGGGGGGAGCAACCGCGTCGTGCTCGACCGCATAGCGGAGTCAGGGCGGGATATTCTGGGCGCAGTCCGACCGCGTGTGGACGCTCGACGGAGCGGCGGTACAGGCGTCGATGGTCGGGTTCGACGACGGGAAGGAAGAGACCCGCGAGTTGGACGGTGTCGAAGTTTCAAAGATATACACCAACCTGACCTCCGGCGAGACCGACGTGACCAAAGCGCGGAGGCTGAAGAGAATCTCGGGATTGCCTTCATGGGAGATACGAAGGGAGGCCCCTTCGATATTCCAGAAGGGCTGGCCAAGCAGCTTCTCGATCACCCAAACCCTGACGGTCGCTCGAATGCGGACGTGGTGCGTCCATGGATCAACGGTATCGGACATCACTGGCCGACCCGCCGAGCCGAAATATGTGGATCATCGACTTCCCACCGGGGACGACCTTTGAAGAGGCGGCATCTACGAAGCGCCCTTCGAGTACGTCCTACGAATGTCAAACAGGTCGCACGAGCGAGCAAGCGGACGAGGACCCTACGCAAGAGATGGTGGCTCATCTGGAGCGCGCCAAGAGTTAATGCGCGCCGCCATACATGGGCTGGATCGATGTCATCGTCACTCCTACGTGCCTTCTAAACAGACACACAGCTGTTCATGCGTGCTAGGAACGACACGCTTGCCGATCACACCGCCATAGCTTTTGCCCGCGACGATGACTATTTCTTTGGTGCTGCTTTCATCTCGTCTCGAGGTGCATGAACTCTGGGCGTTGCGACTGCGAGCACGCAATCTCGTGAAGTCGACGTCTAGATTCAAACGATTACACACATCGACGTTCGAGACCTTCCCGTTTCCGTGCCCGACGCCTGACTCGGACGAAGGCGGAGCTACGCGCGCCGCCAACGCCTCGCCACCCTCGGCTCCGGGCTGGCTGAACCCTGCATGCAGGACGCACCGTGAGTCTCCGAGCGAACTCCAAGCGGGGCCGACGTTGACGACCTCTACAATCGCCGCCCACATGGCTGGACATTGAGCACAAGAGGCTTGATGAGGCCGTATTCGCGGCATACGGATGGCCACACGGATCCTGAGTGACGGGGAGATTATCGCGCGGCTGCTGCTCCTCAATCTGGAGCGTGTCTGATACCAATCCATGTTGACTACGCCGTACACAATATGACTCGGCACCCGCATATCGTCATTCCGCGTAGGAACGTCACCCCGTACTCTGATACGGGGCCGGAATCCAGAGAGTGCAGTCAAGCGAGAATAATGCGTCATCACACTTGATTGGCAGTATACCAATTTGCCATGACTGCGCCGCCAACTTGACGCCGCAAGAAGAACACCTGACCTACTACCTTGTCCAGTGCGCGGAAACCGGTTTCCCGCCCGCGTGACCCGCCCCGTGAAACCATGTGAGGCAAATTGAGAGAAAGAACGTGAAGGAATTTTGTGTCTCATGCGAAGGTTTGCTCATGCTCAAACTGTCTCATCCCAATGACCGAAGAGTGCGCTCAGGTGAGAAGAGAGTTCGGGGAATTCTCAAATTGTCTCATCGTCTCAAACTGTCTCATCGTCTCAAACTGTCTCATCCCTGCGACCGAAGAGTGCGGTCATGTGAGAAAGAGCGTTCCGGGGAATTCTCGAACTGTCTCATCGTCTCAAACTGTCTCATCCCAATGACCGAAGAGTGCGCTCCGTCGTGAGAGAAGAAGCGTTCCGGGAACTCTCCAAACTGGTCTCATCATCGTCTCAAACTGTCATCACGCAGGACGCAGAGTGCGGTGTCAGGTGAGAAGAGGTGTTCCGGGGAATTCTCGAACTGTCTCATCGTCTCAAACTGTCTCATCCCAATGACCGAAGAGTGCGGTCATGTGAGAAAGAGCGTTCCGGGGAATTCTCAAACTGTCTCATCCTCTCAAACTGTCTCACATCTCACACCACACGCGATTAACGTAGAGTTAGGTTATAATCACGATAATATGGAGGGAGCGTGAGGGCGTTCCAGTCGATGACCATAACGAAGGGCGGAACGACCCTTCCGCCGAAGTCGTCGTGGCCGGGGAATTGGTTGACCAGTCGACGTGTTAGTCATATCATTAGCTAAGCTGACCGTAAAGGAGCGGGCAATGGTAACGGTGAACGTCCACGAAGCGAAGACCCACCTGTCGCGTCTGCTGGCGCAGGTCGAGGCGGGAGAGGAGGTCATCATCGCTCGAAACGGCAAGCCCGTCGCCCAGCTCGTGCGCTGCAAGAAGCGCGGCAAGCGGCAATTCGGCTCGATGAAGGGCCTGATAAGCATCGATGCGCACCGGTCCGCTTCTTTTTTGAGCGCTGCTGTCGGAGAAGAGCTGCCGCTGTGGAGGTGGCTGACCGTTGCGTGCGCTGCTACTCCACAACGACTACTCGAACACCCCACGTCCATTCATTTGGTGGTTTGCCGGAAGCGAGCAGTTGCCCCTATCCGCCCGGCGGTTGATAGAAGGTGACGACAACGACGTGCTGATAAGCGCGATAAGCGCGGCGTCGGCTTGGGAGATCGCGACCAAGCACCGGAAAGGCAAACTGCCGGAAGCGGAGGCCCTGGCCCGCGATATTGCCGGCGCCATAGCCGGCCAAGACTTCGAGGAGTTGGCCGTCACCGTAGACGACGCCGCGCGCGCCGGAGCGCTTCCCGGCCCGCTCCGTGATCCCTTCGACCGAATGCTCATAGCGCAGGCTTTGTCGCGCAACCTCGTTCTCATCTCGAACGAATCCCTCTTCGACCGGTACGGCGTCCGCCGCTTGTGGTGACACGCGGTCACTCTCACCCCTTCGGCAAGCTCAGGGCAGGCTCTAGCTCTCTCCCTCAAGGGCGAGGGAGAGGCCGTATCATCTCCCGTAGGCGAGAGGGCTTAGGGTGAGGGTAGAGGAACGGCTCTAGCATATCACCATTCGCCGATGCGGAGGATGCGCGCGAGGGAGATTCGGCGGATGAGTAGGATGAGGGCCAGGGTGATCACGGCGAAGATGACGAGCATGATCCGCATAGGTGATGAGAAGGGCCGTCCAGTCGATGACCATGATGAAGGGGGGAATGACCCTACCGCCGAAGTCGTCGGGGCCGAGGAAGGGTATGATCGTCGCGCCGAGCCTGCTGCCCATCCACGTCCGAGGGCGAGTCCGACGGCTATGATTATGGTCTGTTCGAGCCACATCATCATCATCAGCTGACCGCCCGACAGCCCTGTCGTCCCATGAGAGCGAACTGGACCTGCCTGCTTCGGAACGACGAAGTAGGCGTGGACGAGGAAGCCGAGGCAGCTCAACAGCAAGACTGCGGAGAAGGCGATGAAGAGCAGCGCGCGCCAACCGGCGTCGACGAGCGGATCGACGCTGGCGTCCTTCGCGCGGAAGCGCTCCTCGCGGTCGAGGACTTGACGGAGCCGAAGCCCTCGACGGACTTGAGGCTCTCCAACAGGCTCTCTCTCGCCTTCGCGGTGGTTGACGACGCGATCCACAGTCCTCGGGCAGGAATGGCTGGTCGGAGACGCCACTGGTTGCGAACGCGTTGAGGGCTGAGATGTCGGCAATGAGGTACTGTTTCAGGTCGGACGTGACGAGGGGAAGCAGTTCTACCGCCGACGATGGAGACGGGTATACGCGCGCGGTCGACGGATACCTCGAACTCGTCCCCGACGCGATGGTTCTCCGGTCAGGAAGGCCCTGCTGGCGAGCACCTTGATAGGGGGCTGCTCATCGCCGACGAAGATGCCTCGCGGCGTCAGCGGCTCGCCCCTTGCCCAGGTGAATACTGCTGCCCCTGCCACATCGTCGAAGACCTCCGCGGAAGGCTTGAGCTCGTCGCTGATGGAGTTCTCGGTTGTCTTGAGCAGAGACCAAGCGTCGGTGGAGTCGAACCCGTCGAGCAGCACCTGCGATCCGCCGCTCGTGGTGACGTGTACGTCGTCGAAAAAGACCGTTCCGGGCTTGAGGGTCACGTTGAGGTTGGACTGTTCGACGTAGAGCGCGCTTAGCTTGACGGGGCCGTTGGCAAGAAAGTCCTCTCGACCCTGATCCGCCAACGAGACATCGAGATTGAGCCAGTCGCTCGAAGACACGAAGCCCAGCTTGTAGTCCGACTGCTGGTCGATCGCGTTGGTCAGGCGCGCGACACCTGGAGCGTCGGGCGTATCCTGTCCGACCTGACTCTGGCGCCGATGGACACTGCGTCGGACGGAATAGCGATCCCGCCGCTCGCGCGTGCGGACTCGTCCGGGCGTATTCGCGCCAGCAAGTCTTCCAGAGGTTCGTCGGAGAAGTCACCTCGGAACCACGCCACTTTGTCGAAGTTTGCGCTGTTCAGGGCCATCAACTCGAACGAGCCGCCCTGCTGTCGGGTGAGGTCGCGTCCCGCCCGGCTGAGGACGGCGCTGGCCGTGTCGACGCCGGGTATGCGCTCGTAGGCGATCTCCTCGACGAACCGACCCCCCGTCATGAGGGCCGCGTCGTCGGTGGCCGATGACCTGTTGACGCCCACGACGCGCAGGTCGCTGCCGGAGACGTGGAGGATGCGCTCCTCGAAGCTGCGCTGGAGGGTCGTGCCGAAGCTGGACGCGAAGATGCCGAGACCCGCAGTGAGGATAAGGAGGAGAGAGAGTCGTGAGTAGTGCGTGGGCTGCGGGACATCTGCCAGACGGTCATGGCCGCGGCGACGGGCAGGACCTTTACGAAGAGCTTGCTGATGAGGTTCATCCAGGGGGAAGAGCCTGAGCAGCACCATCGCCGACGCGACGAGCACGAGTCCCGGCACGGCGAGCAGGAGCTCGTCGGCGACGGCGGCCCCGAAGACGTCGCGGGCGACGACCGAACCCTGTTCCGTGAGCTGGCGGAAGAGGAAGATAGCAACGAGAAGCAGCAGGACGTCGAGGTAGTACCGCTGGAAGGCGGGCAGCGTGTCGCGGCGCACGATGCTGGCGCTGTCTGGGTGATGCGAAGCGAGACGCATGATTGCGGGTAGGAGCAGGGCTAAGAACCCGAGTATGCCGCCGAGGGTGCTCAGGGCATAGGCGGCGGGCGATATCTCGACCGAAAGAAGTCCACCGCCGGTGAGTCCGAAGAAGGCAGGCGTGAGGCCGAGCAGGCTGATCGTGAGTGCGGCGATGACGGGCGCGGCGATTGCCGCGAGGAGGGCTATCATCGCCCCCTCCATGATGAATACGGTGAGTATTTGCGACGTGTCGGAGCCGCGGCTGCGGAACTGGGCGACTTCGGAGCGCTGGTTTTCTACGAGGATCGAAGACATGGTCGCGACGTAGTAGAGGATGACGAATGCGATGAGGATGAGGACGATGAACATGGGCAGTCTGCTAAAGAACAGCCGCTGGTCGTACTCGATCAGGGCATCGTCGAGGCCCGTTGTAAGGGAGAAGGTCTGGAGGGCCGCGACCGCTCTGTTGCTCATCACGCTTATGTTGGCGACTGTCAGCTGCGCGTTGTCGGCGTTTAAGAGGCTGGGATCGGTCTTTAGGTACCAGAAGTAGCTGGCGGACATCCTGCCGATGGAAGGGCCGAGAGCTTCCAAGAACGACTGCCGTGTGATGAAGAACGGCATGAGGCGAAGGTCGGTTGTGAGGGTCCGGGTCTGGAGGGATTCCTCGGTGAAGCTGACCAACTCGGCGTCGTTGGCGCTTTCCCAGTCGAATGCGCCGGAGATGGTGACGTAGACATAAGGGATGTCCGAGGAGATGGTTGGGACAGCGGCGAACCGGTCTCCGACACGAGCGCCGAGCTCCTGCATCGCCCGAATGGGGACGACGGCTTCCAGCTCCAACGGCTGATCAGGGCCTACGGCAGCGGAGGGGATAGGCGGCGCCCCCTCGATCAGGGGTACACGCTCGTCCAGATCGTCAATGAATGCGAAGAAGGTACGGTCGAGGCCACCTTTGGCGGTGTCTTCGCTGCCGACCTGTCCCAGATAGAAGGTGGGAGTGCGGCCCGCGGGGATGGAGTCACGGACCATCCAAGAGACGTGCCTGTTCGCTAGCGGCACGACTACGGAGGTGATTTTTCCGTACTCCTCGTTGTTGGTTGGGCCCCTGCTGGCGCGGACGGTTATGTTTAGCTGCTCGGTCGTGCGCTTTTGCAGGGAGTTCTCGAGGGCCAATTCACGGAGCGCCTCGAAGTAGATGATGGTGCCGGAAAGGATGGCGGATGCCAGGACGACTCCAATGACGACGTAGGAAAGGAGCCGCCAGTGGGCGAGGGCCCGCTTGGCAACGAGCTGCCACGTCGAGATTATCCCGTACGCGATCCTGTTAAGTCTCTCGTTTAGAGTCTTCTTGTTCTTCATTGTTCGGTTGGACTATGTCTGATGACGTGAACTCGTCGATATGTCCCAGGGGCGCTCTTGCCTTCCATGTTATTCGCCAAAGCGGGATATTGCCCGGAGATCGAGTTGGCCTACACCTCTATTGAGAAGCACTAGAGCGCCGATGAACAGGAGTCCCAGAGCGACATAGGTGGAGCCCATAATCGGCCAGTCGGTCGTGAGGATGAAGGGCGGGGTGACCGGGAGTCCGATCTCGGTGATCGCCAAAGGCGATACGGCTAGGCGGCTCATCTGGAATCCGGCCCAGGTGCCGAGACCGAGACCGATTGCGGCGATGGCGAGATGCTCAAAGCCCAAGAGTCGGAGGAGCTGACCCCGTGTGAGACCCAGCGTCCGTAGGGAGCCGATCTCGACGGCGCTCTTCTTGGCGAAGAGGAGGAGGTAGGTGAGATAGCCTACCGCGGCGGCGAAGACTGCGATGGTGGGAGAGAGTATCGTCATGGGCTGCCAGCCCGCCGATACGAACGGGTTTAGCTGCAGTCCTTCGAGTCGGCCCTGTCCGTCGCGGACGGAGCCTCCCTGGGGGCCGAGTATTTCGACCATCTCCTCGCCGACACGTTCATGGGAACCGGGTTTTAGGTCGTAGTAGAGATCCAGGGCTCGTATCCTATGGTGGTTGAGCAGGACGTTGGCGCGTTCCACGAGGCTATTGAGGTCGGTTAGGATCAGCCGCCCTGGCTCGGATCGTGAGTGGGGAAGAATTCGACTACTTCCACGACCCTCATACGCAGCCAACGAAGACCGACGAGGGTGATAAAGGTGTCGCCCACCTGCCGGTCAGCGCGAACGAGGGATGAGTCTATCACCACGGGCAAAGGTCCCGGGGAAGACGTAGGATAGAAGCCTCGCAGGCCTTCCGTAGTTTTGCCCGCTGAACGAGTAGGCGATGGCCCCTGAGCCGTTGCGCACCTCGTCGGTGGAGAACGAGACGATTTCGGTTGATGCGGCAGACGTAAGGATCGCCTCCCATCGTAGTTTGTCCCCCTCGAAGTCATCGAGAACCAGCTCTTCGTTTTCGAAGCCGACCGTGGCTATGATGTCGTCGATGTAGAGTCTGCCAGGTGTAACCGGAGTCCCCGACAGACCGGCGGTAGGGTCGCCGCCCGGCTCGAACATGTGGATGGACACGAGCGAGAAAGGCGGTTTGACGTGGTCGGGTATGTTGCCGATCAGGAACTGCCAGTCGTCAGTTCGCAGTGTGTTCATGATAACCGTCTGCAGTTCCCCTCGGTCGTTTTCGATTTGTGCGTACAGGTCGAGGCCGGGGATGAAGGGATCGGGCTTGACCCACAGGCCGATGCCGTTCGTATCATCGGGCAGAGGTATTCTGCCGGTCGGTTCACCCGGATTAAGCAGGTCCATCAACTGGGGCAAGGAACTGTCGGAGAAGTCTTCACGGTACCAGGCAACGTCTGCGAAACCCGCCGTATCCACGGCGAGGACTTCGACGGTTGAACCTCCGGACTGACCACGTTCACGGAGTCCTTGTACAACGTGCTCAACGTCGCCGAGTTCCCGTGAGTTTCTAAGGACCTCGCTAATTCCACCCTTCGCGAGGAGGGACGCCGTGACACGCAGGTCTGCCCCTTCCTCGAAGAGGACTCGTTCGATTTGGCTGCGTTCGAGGGTGCCACCTACCGTGGTTGCCAAGATGCCGAGGCCGGTCGCCAATACGAGAAGCAGGATCATCCACGTGTATTGCAGCGGATTGCGCGACATGTGGAGCAGTCCAATTTCCAGCCAGACCGGCATCACGCGGTTCAGCCCGGTGAATACGATAAACAGCAGTTGGGCGGGGACGATGGCTATGAGTCCCCAGGTCGGAACGGTCAGGAGATCGCCAGCCACCGGGGGACGCAGCGCGACGAAACCGGCGACAAGTACGGCCTGAACTGCCAAGCCTGCGTATCGGTGCTTTCGGTCGTGCCAGCGGCGTTTCGTAAGCCAATATGCGATCAAGACCGCGACCGCAGCAGCTCCCGGCAACAGCCAGTCCAGGGTCTCGCTGTCGCGCTCGCGCCAGTAGACGCCCACGACTGAAGCGATGACCGACGCCGAGACCAGCAGGTCGACGATGCGGATGGACTCGCCGCTGATGAATCGGACGATCATGGGGAAGAAGCGCATGAAGACGAGTGTGACGACGATAAGGAAGAGGACGGGTGCGACGAGGAGGACTTCGTTCACCTCGGTCTCCTCGAAGAAGCCGCGATATACGAATTGACCGCGCTTCTGAAGCTCCCAGTAGATCAGGCCGCCGAAGACGAGGATGCCTATGTCGAGGTTGAACCGCTGGAGGAAGGGCAGTCCCAGCGGGCGGGAGGTCTGGAGCCTACGAAGGAGGACGCCTCCCTGGGCGCTGAGCACGTTGGGCACCACGAATATGGCGAGACAGAGGAGGCCGACAGCGAACGAGATGATGAAGGGCGTCGCGCTGAAGCGAATGGGCATGAGGTTGCCGCTGTTCATCTCCTCGAAAAACGGAAGCACTCCAGAGACTGCGACCATACCGTAGGCCAAGAACGGGGTAACGACCACGGCTATCGCGACCATCACCAGGCCTTCGGCGGTATATATTCGAGTCAACTGAGTGAGAGTGGCTCCAAGGGTCTTTAGGAGCGATGAGTCGCTCTCTCTGCTCTGCGTCAGGTACGACACGAGGATGCCGAGGAAGAACAGCACGGTGAGCAGGATTACCGTGAGCAGGAGTAGCATGGGAATCTTGGCGTAGAAGTTCCGCAGCTGGCCGGACTCGGTCAGATTCTCGACGAACTCGGTTGTGGGACGGGCGTCGGGAAGCTCGGCGGTGATGGCGTCGGAGAAGGCCCTGAAGCGTTCTCTCGCCTCGGCAGCGGACCATTGCTTCAGCCGCTCGGGGTCGATCTTGATTACCCACTGAGGGTTAACCACGGCCCCCGGGTAGGTCTGCGAGAGGAGCTGCGTCATAACCTCCGGCGCGACGATGATCGGGATAGTCGAGAGGGAATCGTCGGAGAGAAGAAGGAAAGGCGTGTCCTGACGTTGAGGATCGAGACTCAGTAGAGCCCCCGTGGAGCGCCAGTACTGTGAGTCCTTGTCGTCCTCCTCGTAAAAGCCGACGAGCCGCACCGTGATAATTTCGCGCTGACCAAGCTCCGGCGAAAAGTGGAGCTCGTCCCCGATCTCGGTCTGGGTCCGCGTGGAAACGCCCTTGTGAACGATAGCGTCGATGATGGGACCGCGCGGGCCTTGCGTGATCTCGGTCGCCGCCATGCCCCCCTGATCGAACACGATGTGGTCCTGGACGTTGGAGAGCGAAACGAGGAAGCCGAGACGGGCGATGATGCCCTGTCCCGTGCTGATGGGGAGGTGATCGTTCGGCGTATCGACCAGCATCGGGACGCCCTTGATGTACGTCTCCTGGCCGAGGAACGTGGTCTCCGCGACGAGGTCCTGCAAGGCGAAGCGCATGGCTGTCTCGTCGGCGAACAGGACCAGGGGAGTTTCCCCGGGTTTCTGTACCGTCAGGTATGGCGTGGGAGCCTCGATGACCGGGGGATTGAGCGCTTCTCCATCCGGGCCCCACGTCCGTGCTTCCGGATCCAAGGGGTCGAAGATGCCGACGATGATGACGCCGATGCCCGGAGGGCCGGCGGGTATGGGAGCAGGAGTCGATTCGAGGAGCTCGGCGAGTTCGCTGTCGTCCTGGGCCTCGTTGGAGGCGGTTGATTCGGCTCTCTGACTGAGAAGATCGGTTGAAAGAATGACCTGATGGTCTATTTCGAGCTTGAAGCGCCTCGCCATTTCCGAGGAAACGATGGCCTCGATCAGCACGCCAAACGGGGAGCTGTCAATGGTGTCGGATGACATTTGCCCCTCGACGAACTTTACGTACGCTGGAAGATTCGAGAGGTGCTGAAGGTATCCGCGCGAGACATAGATGCCCTCGCCGGTACCCTCGGCCAGAGGAATACCCGGCGTTCCAATAATGGCGACACGGCTCTTGATGAACCGTTCATGGCCTTCGTACACGTACGAAATGTGCTCTTCGACGGCGTCGGCCACGACCTGTTCGGCGTGCTCGATCGATCTCGGTCGCCACGACTTTCCGCGCCGAATACGTCAGATCTTCGGCTCGTCGATGCGGTCGAGAGCGGCGTTGAACGAAAGCTGGTCGAGCGATTCGAGGTAGATAGGAGTGCCCGCGCCGATGGTCGTGGCAATGAAAATGCCGATGAACACCGTGAGCAGGAGTTTCCAGTCGTCGGCGATGCGCCGGACGATGACCCTTGTGAGCGAGAGTTATTTATTCATGTCACGTAAACGTTGGGTGCTTGGCGAAACCCTTGTCCTTTTGCATCAATCCCAAGTGATGGATGACGCTCCCTATTTTTCTAACGTCATTCGCGCTAAGGTGTTAGCGGTCTCACGCGATCTCTACCATCCAAGCGAACCGATTGGGAAATGTAATGATAGTACCGTCCAGACCATGTATCAACCACGATTGACGAGCCGGGCCTGGGGGGGGGCGGGGGTGCGGGGGTGGGGTGTGGTGGGGGGGTGGTGGGGGGCCCTGCCCGCGGGGCAATAATTGCGACAATGACATGCTCACAGCACGCCTTGTGGACTCTAGCCCCGGGTCTGGCACGGGATGACGTTCCCGTGGGTAAGCGCGGGACATGCCTATTGGGGGAGTGACGAGAGGGGTGCGAAGGCCGCAAGAGGGAATGAGGACGGGACGCGCGGAAGACGGGCAACCAAAATGTTGCCTCTACGTCAGATTGAGTGAGAGCCATTTTCGTAGCAGTGATGGGAGGAGGATTCGGTTGACGCCATGCCCGCTCGACTATGTGGGTGCTCGGTATAGACTTCCGTAGCGCAAGGGGGGGGGGGGGGGGGAAGGGGGGGGGGGAGATGG